GTGTGTGTGTGTGTCACCCCCTGTACCAAAGGGTTTGATACCACAGTTCCCACTACAACCACCCCACAAGGCAGGGGGGCCAGGCCTGTCACATCCAACCTGGCCCAACGAAGCTGGGATGTGACAGGGGAAGCACCAGAGGACGCTTTGGTGTGTACCTGCCACAACTTTTGCACAAGCTGTCCAATCTCCTTTTTGGTTTCCATGGTGGTTCATGATACTTCCCCCAAACCTACTCTTCCCCAGCAGCTGCGCCGCCGGTTTGATCGTCTTGCCGCCGCTTTGAACGTATGAGTGCTTGCGCGAACAATGTTCAACCATACTGTTGTCGCCGACTCACTCACCTTGCGTTTCTCTCACCTTCCTTCTCAGCGTGGGAACTGAGTGTAACTGAAAACCAATGTCAGAGTGTATAGATAGATATATATATATACATATATATCTTTTGTCACCAAAATGCCGAACGACACCTGTCCCTCTTCGAAACGACCATGGACCATGGCTACTCGCTACTCCCACCATGCAGGTGTAGATGATTCACCGATGCCCCAGCGCCGATGGTGTTGAAGGAGAGCCAAAGCCGCTTCGATCCCCTGAGCCCACAGGCCAGGCCCAGCATCAGCGCCTCCTAAGCGACGATTCCGCCAGACGACCCATGGTCCCACCAAACCCAAACCAGGCACGGCTTTGATAGCCGAATTTGAAAAGAGCAATGTAGTATAATTAGGTTTTTTAGATCTTCCCAAAAGTAAACATTGTGCATGTCTCACCATAGTTGCTTTTGCAACGTGTACGTCTGTTCAACCGTGTTTTGGAGTGCCAAGTAAGTACCCTGTATATTCAGGCCATTCGATTGGTTGTTGTGGTTTCCTTGTATCGTCTATCAGTCTATCTTGCTCCCAGAAATCCCCGGCCCAGCATCCAAGGTCAGGACTTGTGGCTGCTCGCCACGGGGCACCAGCAAAAAGTGGTTTCGACAAATGGGATGCCTCAGCAAAGAACTGGACACAAGGCACTTGGGAAAGCCAAAAAAGATGCCTAGAATATGCCTCTACTTTTCCTTGGTAGAAAGTGTGGGAGCTTAGGAGTTGAAGCCTGTGAAACATTTTGGGACATAAACTGAATGTTTGCCATCGGATGCACCATGGAGCCACGAGGTAGAATGAGGTCCCTTCAACAGCCCAAAACGTCCGTGGAATTCCGTGCCCGCTCAAGCCCCCCATCGATGAATTAGTCCCCAACTGAAGGACAACCGTGGTCAAACAGCCGAGACTCTTGTTGACGATGACCATTGCTTGCTCCTCCTCGCACCTGTCTCCAGTCGACAGGTCTGCGTACTTCGGCCAGTGACAGGTGTTGGACCTCTGGTCAAAAAGGCACTGACGGAGAGTTCAAAGGAAAACCATCATTTCAGCAAACCCAAGCATTCTCAACTTTTGCGCCAAACCCAGACCCAAAATTGCAGCCACGCGAATTGTCCAAGAACAGGATCTATGTTCTTTCATGTTCCGTTTGAACTCTTGACACACTTGCCAATGGATTTCGATGGATTCTCTTCCAAGCATGTGAAATTCGAACGGCAAAACTCCAGCTTTCACTCACTGTCAGAAGTTTCTCTTTTTTCCAAGCATCGTCTCTGTATGATGACATGCCGTTTGTCGCCAGGGATTGAAGCAAAGAAGCACCTCCGCGCTAGCCACCTCGGAATCACAACAAAGCACCCCAAAGCAGAAGGTATCCAGCAGTCTTTGGGACATATCTAGCACGCGCTGACAAAAATGCGTCCTGATGCCATGCGTGACAGCCAATCGGCTGTTGACCGACCGTCAGAGGGATGATGGGCTCCCAATGCTCTGGTACTTCCCTCACGGTTTCAGACTGTTTATCTCATGTCCATCATGAGAGAACTTCGCAAAACTTTTGTTGACAAATTCCAAAAACTTTCTTTATGGGAACGTGCTTCCATCAACAGTGGCATCTTGATAAAACTCAATATATATATATATATACGCATGCATGTATGTACGTGTGTGCACTTGGACCCCAGAGCGTTCCAACTGTGGAGACACACAAATGCAGGCGGCCGAGAGTCTTCAAAGGGACCACATATTATCATGAATCATGTATGTATATATATATATACATATACTATGTGTGTGTACGTACTGTACTATGGACCTGCCCGTCGTCAGATAAATTTTATCCACACACCGATCCTAGAACAATCAGTACTTCAGTGTGAAGTGACAAAACGTGCCTCTAGACTCTAGCCGGTAGAAAACTCAGACAAAAAGGAAGTCTGGGTGGGATCTTCGTGAACAAGCAGAGCCCTACACTAATGGAAAAAGTCAACTACGAAGAGCGAAGGACTCCGGGAAGCCATCTAATCTAAGAGCCCCACCTTTCCAAAGTGAAATCTCTGGTCATCAAATGGCAATCGTGTGGAGTTGATCGTGGCATTCAATGACCTATCAGGACAAGCAAAAAACTCAAGTTGCCACAGGGGGGCACCAAGTTTAGGGGGTAACCTTCCGAGAAGTGTCCGAAGCAGGGCCACAAAAAATCAAAACTGCGTTACCTACGGCGGACTTCAAAAAACACTATTTTTTTCAGCACGGAATGGACTAGTGAAAAAAACCCTGTGCTTTTTGACTTTTGGTCTTCGATTTTTCGGCTTTGAGACGCATATTTTGTCCATGTGTCTTGTCAGGAGGCCGCGGGGCCAGATTTTATGATTTCGGAGCTGTTTGGGTGACGGTTTTCGCCGAAACATTGGTTTTTGCAGTGTTTTTGTACATTGCCGAGGCTTGAGCTCTTTGCGCAAAAATGTAAAAAACCTCGCAAATAGCAGTGTTTTTGGCGACCATGTTGTTGAACACGTCGCAAATTGCGGTGTTTTTTGACAGCAGGTTTAAAAAAAACACTGACTGTAAATAGCGGTGCTTTGGGCCACGGCAAGCTCCAAAACATCGCTATTTGCAGTGGCTTCTGCCTCACAGAGCATAAAAACACTGTAAAATACGTGCGGGCGGACGTTGCCGCGGAGCGGCGTGAATAAATTTCAAACCCTGACTCGCACAGCATGGTGTCTTTAAGGCGCTGTACTGTGGCCACACAATTGAACTGCGGATGTCTTCTGTGTCAACACCAGATTGGGGAAGCCACAAAGCTTCGGTCTTCGCTGTGAGAACACAGCCATGGTGTATGCGCTAGCGTAGTTTACACTCGCCAATGGCAAGGCTCTGGCACGTACCACTGGTGCAGGGAGAACTTCCAGCACCAAACCAAGCCAACCACCACATGGGCATAGCGTATCCCAAAACATGCACCCAGCATGGGCACAACATATTTCCCCCAACCCAAAGCACGCTGTGAGGTGGCAGTGGGCTTTTGCCTGCGCTCAAGCAGTTCAGCCTGAGTCTTCAGCCCCAGGATGATGGAATGCGTTTCTGCTTCTTCACGCCTTCCCTTCCAGATGTATTCCATGGGCGTTGAGACTCGGCAACCAAATCCAAGATACCCCCGCAAGGTAAGCCTTGCCAGCTTCTCGCTTGGTGTTTGGCGACTTGCCCTCGTTCTTCCACATTTTCTGGCTCACTGCTGCCCAAAAGCTAAAGTCTAGCGGGTTGAGGTCTGGGGTCACAAAAGGTAATGTTACCTTGGAATAGCCTTTTCCCCGTCTAATTTCTACTCCCACGCAAGGTATGCTACATTGGAACGGCACCTTCCTCCTCTAAAAATACTTTTTAAGCTCGGGCAGACACAAAAGGTATGCTACATTGGAATGGCCCCTTCCTCTTCCAAATTTTAGCCTCGGGTGACGCCCTTCTAAATTGTCTCTCGGATGGCTCACAACGGGTATGCTAGATGTTTCTTTGGGGGTGGACCAAAGGACTGGGGGACCAAAGGACCAGGGGACCAAGGGACCAGCAGATTAGGCAATGTGTTGTGTGCTTTTTTGAGTAATCAGTAGCTAATTTGTTTGATCCCTATGCCTGCTAACATTGAGTTTTAGGGGTGGCAGGGGTCAAAGTGGTTTGAAGGGATTGAATATGTTGTCCATCTACGGTAGTTGGCCATTATGATCAGTGCGCACCGAAACAAATGCAGGAGCATTGAGCTCATGATGAGCTCATGACCTGGTCGGGATAGGGATCTTGCATCCAGGTTGCTGATCCTCCGCCACTCCCGCCAATCCATCAAATCAAGAAAACTACACTGAAAAGGATGCCTCAGCAAGTTTATGGTTGGCTTTTTCCCTGCCAAAGGAAGAGAAGGACAAAGTGCTTCTTGGAAATTTTTGAATGTATTCTGTAAAGTCGGTCTATGCCGGTAGACACCTGTTCCAGGATCCCGGTCACCTCCCGTGTGGACCACTCCATCAACACATGGGGCCTTTTTTGGCCACGATTGGGCGCCAGCTGAACTACCATAGCCGTCGGCCCCTCGAGAACCTCCAGCGCTGGCAGCTCCGACTCCGTCCACTGAAGGACACCTGCAGCAGTTGAGTCTTTCACTGAAACAGACTTCAAATATATATATATATATATATATATCTTCAAATGACCTTGAATTTGGAATGTCAACAGTTTGATCAACCAATCGCTGCCTTCGCTGCGTTTTTGCTCCCAAGCTTGGCAAAGCTGCTGGTGCAGGTAGCCCTCGCGGCAACAAAGACAGCAAGAACTAAAAGTAGGGATTTGGAAGGACTTGAAGTCGCAGCTATACCCCAGCAAATGAATTCAAAAGAAACAGTTTCTCGAATCACTGACTCAGTTTGGAGGAAGGCTTGTCATGTATATACAGATTTCTCAACGAAACATGCTGATCTGTGCGAGTCCCTGCTGTCAGAATGCCCCATGGGCTCCTTCAAATATGCTCCTTCTTGGACCAGATCTTGGTCAAAACCTCTTTGGGAGTTCCATGACAGCTATGTCACAAAAAACAAACCAAACCTGCCCAGAAATCGACCAAAACACAAAAAAATCGAAGAGAGTCTTGTCCAAGACTCCCACCTCCCCAAGGCAGGAACTCGCAGTGGCCGGCAGCAAAAGGGCCGCGGCCGGCACCCAATAAGGCAGCATTTTGTGTCACTGCAGGCGGTTCATGCTGGACCGGCGAATTTGGAACAATTGAGACTCCAAATCAAGTGGTGGTTCTGTCTGGGTTTTGACAGTGCATTTTACTTCGTGCCCTCAATCCGACCAAGATCATGGAAACACAAAGGTAGTCCCACCAGAAGTCTACCATTAAAGTCATACTTGGTACGTTACAAGTGTTTTAAAGCAAAGTGGGCTGCTGTTTCTGTGTTCCGGGTTTGTGATTTGGAGAGGGTCCAGGCAATCTTGATGTTCTGATACTTGAGTGCTAATTCCAAGCAGAATGCTCACAATTGAATCGTCCACACGATTGAAATGATCCCCATAATTTGTTTTGTGAAGAAAACTGCGCAGTCTTTCAGCTTGCGCTTTCATCTTGATTGATTGGGCAGCTCCTGCCCTTCTCAGCAAGCTGGAGCCATATATGTGTTGAGCGAGACTCTTTGACACGCAACTGCATGCAAGCATCTCTTCCTCAGGAGCGGTTTAGTGTTCAGAGATTCTATATCGATTACGCAAAGCTTTGGCTTTCGATTCTTCGACGCCTTTTGCCTAAAGGAGGTGTGACAAGGTTACATCAGCTCATGACCCCCTCGTTCAAACCAAGTCAACAAACATCGAACATGACCCCGGCCAGTCCTCCACATTCAGGCGGTATGACTGGCATTCCACTCTCGTCTTGTTCACCAGCACCCGGGCATCTGCATTGAGGCCTTGCAGGATCAATGTGTTTTCGGAGTTAATCTCCACAAACCCTGCTCATGTTTCAGACAGCTGCTCTTGCCGCAAAACGTAGTCTGTCAGGAAACTCATGGAAACTCCGTAGTTTGCACCATGTACCACTTGCCAGGAGGTGCAGCAAGTCAACCAAACTGGCGCCTGCAAAGGTCAAGGCGATGTTGTCATCCACGACCAAGATCTTTCGAATTGTCCTCTGAATGCACTAGTGACTGGTGCGGGCCGCGCTGCGGGGCTAGTTTTCAACGGACCTGAATGTCTCTGGCTACTAAATGAGACGAGGGAATGTGTTCAGCGCAAAGGTTTTTCCAAACTGTCCAAATTGCACAGAAAAAGCACTCACCCAAAGGAAGAACTCGAATTGAAGCGCTCAAATCAGCCACCCCACGACCCCGCGGAGTCTTCCCGAGTTCGACTGAGCTCGTTGAACCCGCGAGAGTCTTTTTCTTGTGGCATCTCCGGGGCACCGCGCCTAGGGTCCTGCAACTTCGGCGTGGCCCGCCGCTCCACCGCCAGAACGACACCTCACCGCCAGCCCTCCCCATATTTTCCAGTTTCCTTCTCACTCATGGAAAAAACAACTGAAATAGTTCTGTAGAAAGATGCATATTGTATACTGGATTCTTTTGTTTCTTGTGGCGTTGCAGCGTCCTTTTTCGCTTTGCGGGGTTGTGTATTCCATTCTGTAAGTGGAGCCTAACAATAAATGAAACCAGGCACAACCGCAAGAATCCCTCATCCCAGTCCCCATGCACCAACGCTTTGTGCAGAAATGAAATGAAAAAGGGTTTACAAAAGATGAAGGTTAAAGAAATAAGCCCAAGTTAAGCCCCAACAGCAAGTGAGGCAAAATTGATGTTTCAGATTCGGCCGCCCTGCCCCACCCTTGAAAGCAGAAAACTCTTTTTCCAAAGGGTTTACTGTTGGGGTTCTATCTTAGAAAGAAAAGAGCTGGCCACACTCACTGGCCGCGCCCCTGAACTCTGTGGCTGGGCTCTGTGTCCACCTCTTGTCCTCCGCCAGCGCGCGCGCTCATGTGCTATGGACAGCTTACTGGGCTCTTGTCCTCCTCTTGTCCTCTGTGCTGGGCTCTGTGGCTGGGCCTTGTCCTCTTCTTGTCCTCCTCTTGTCCTCGTCTTGGCCGCTGTGTCCGGGTCTGATCCTCCTCTTGTCCTTGTCTTGGCCGCGCCCCTGAAATCTGTGGCTGGTCTCTGTGGCCCGGCTTACTGGAGAGGTGTGGCCGAACAAATAGCGATGTCAATGCCGACAAAACTTCATTGATGAAGCAATTTGCTTTTGGGGTGAAATCGATTATTGACTAATATTGGTCTAAACGAATCGTTTTGAACCTGTTTGGGGCCTATGCTTGTGTAATTACCAAACTCGGAGGCATGTCAGCGTCAAGTGCCACTGCGCACCTTTCTCACAAGCATGTTCGGCAAATTTAGGGGCAAAGCCATTGGGGTGCTCAGATTGGCTGAACCTTTACTTGGAACCTCGGAACCCTCACTTGGAACCTTCAGAACCTTCACTCGGAACCTTTACTTTCACTTGGAACTCTTTGGACAATTGACACGGAACCTTCGCTTGGAACCTCGGAACCTTCGGAACCTTCACTCGGAACCTTTCAGACACTTGACACGGAACCTTAACCTCGGAACCTTCGGAGCCTCCACTCGGAACCTTTACTTGGAACCTCGGAACCCTCATTTGGAACCTTCGGAACCTTCACTTGGACCATTAAACTTGGAACTTTTTGAACAAGTGACACGGAACATTTGCTTGGAACCTCAGAACCTTCGGACACTTTACTTGCAACCTCGGAAACCTCACTTGGAACCTTCGGAACCTTCACTC